TTTTCGAGCATTTTATTTATTTTAGTACTTACGCTTAATATGAATGATAGTAATGGACATTTCTACCAACAATAATACTTGTTTTGAACGGTTGTATTTTGTATTTCTTAACTCGTAAATCTGTTTTAATTTAGTTTTATAAAAAAAAAAAGTATCTTGTTTGGGCCTATATATACTTATTGAGTCCAAAAATTATTAGGCCCAACACTTATTTATAGATGGAGTCGTGTCACGCAAGCTCGTAAACGGAACTACCTCGTGCTCAATCACACAATTAAGTGGGGAGTTTTGTTTACTTTTAATCTCAAAGCTGAGGTATCGAGAGATGTTATGGTGAAATAAGAGAGATAAAACCTAATTGGGTGAGAAATCTGATGAAACAGAACAATTGGTGGAACAAATATTAATAAAACACATGAGTTTGCAACGTAACGTACGTACCCGGCAATCATAACATTAAACATCACTGCAGCTCCGATCGTGATCCCTGATAGCTCCTGTATCTGTCATATATATTCATACACCAAAATATTTATATGATCAAGAGTTTTGGTATCAGTAAAACAAATAAAAAAATTAATCCTCTCATATCACACGTAAAAGTTAATTAACTATTATTTTTTTTTCTTTTATTATCATTGTTATGGTGGCAGGCATAGATAGAAACGTACAGCTCTGGGGTCAACGGCGACGCCACAGATGGTGAGCATGAGGAAGAAAGACGTGACGAACTCCCACGCCAAGCCTTGCGAACACGACACCGATCCTTGCAGCCTCGTCACCGTCACCTTCACGTCCACTTCACTCCGGTGGTCGAACAGAAACGACAGGCTCAACACCGCCAGCGACGACCCTGCCACCTGTGCTGCCACGTACCCCGCCACCTGTTTCCAGGGGAAGCTGCAGGAAGCCGCCAGAGCAACGGTGACCGCCGGGTTGAAATGGCCACCGGAGACGTGGCCGAGAGCGTAAATCATGACCATAAAGGCAAGCCCCCACGCCGCTCCCACGCTCACTACACCCATCTCCGACGACTTGTTCTCCATAATGAAACCGCACCCTACGAAGACGACCACGTAGCTCCCCACCAGCTCCGCTATTATCTGTTTCATTCGTTAAACGCAACGTATTACATGACTGTATATATATATAGCTAGGCACGTGGGTGCTTAATCCGCGGATTGATATTATCGATGCACCCACCAATAACCTGACTCGCAATTAGTGGGCGATCGATGTGGGTGGATTAATTGCGAGTCACCCGAATGACCCGCATCCTATTTTCACATGAAAAAATATATTGTTTCTTATACGAATATTCATCATATTTCCGAACCACACTACAGTCTCACCATATACTTCTAAAGGTGGAGAATTTATTTTTTTTACTATTATTATTGGATATTGTGTTGTGTAATATCCATTAGATATTGGATATTTTAATTTAAATTATTGTTAATACCCATTAAATATTGGGATGAAAACTATAAATTATTAATTTTATCAAAATGAAAAAATACGTAAGTTTCTCTACACAATTGGATGATAGAATAGTAAATTTTTTTATACAAATACTACATTGATTCACTTGAGATAAAGTAAGAAGTGTCTAAATTGATACAGTCTTCCTAATTTGCTATGAGCTTATTATAAATGTTAGTCAACTTTCTTAATGGCATGTTGGAAAATTACTTTTGCGGGTTAACCCAGAACCCAACCGTACCCATCCGCCACCCATCCAACCCGGTCCACAGAAGAATGTGGGTGGATTGCGGATCACAATTATTTGAACTCGCTAGTAAGCGGGTGAATCAATTTGAGACTAAAATCCATCCAACCCGCCCATTGCCCACACCACTAATAGCTAGTAAGAAAGAGAGGCTTTTGGTGGTATATATTGTTTACCTTGTGAGCGTGGATTGTGGAAGAGGAGCTAACACCGTCTCCTGCCGACGATGAAGGAACTTGTGAGAGAGAATGAACATTAATGCTCGTCGGCGGCTTCAATCCTTCTTCGAGGGAGGAAGGCGGTTCAGTTGTAATCGAAGCTTTTGGGGAACAACCACCGCTTGACAGCGGGATCTGATGATGATGATGATTACGATTGCGACGATGATCATTATTATGAGCCATTAACCCAAATTGTTCCATTTAATCTGCTTCTCATCACAAATCCTCACCCCCCGAGAAACACAGCAGCTTAAAACTAGCTAGCTAAGCCCAAAACAAAACAAAAAACGACAGAGAGGAAAGACCTAACTTTCTTGGGCTCTCTCTGCTTAGCTGCCTGGAAACCAATATTCTATTCATGGATAGAGTTGTGCCTTGCTATTGTGGGCCGGGATTACGGAAGAACTCATGGGTTATTTCGTCCTTAATCCTTAGTGATTATCAGAGATAGTTGAAATGAAATGCATGGCAATATTAAGTTGATTTTTCATTGTTTTTATTTCTAAAATTTTGGTGGGGGGTGTGATCGTTTTTATTTGTTTATTCAAGAGGAAACAAGAAAGAACATTGTGTCTCTTTTATTCTCTGGAACTTGCATATATATCCAAAAACAACGAGAGTTAGGTGGGACTTGGGAGTCATCTATGTTTGTTACTTTGTTACTTGTCTTGTTTACAATATCGGGTAATCTCATCTTTTCCCCTTTCACATGTCCATTATTTTACTCTGTGCTTTAAAAAGAGTAGAAAGTAAGGTTGACAATCGGTTTGGTTATAAAACTTTGATTTTTATTAACATTTAAGTACTTTGTGTTTATCTTTAACCTCATTATTTATATTAGTCGGTAACTATAATTGTATAGTCAGTTCTTGGTTATTTTCTTAGATAATCAAATAATCGTTAAACCAGTGATTCGATAAGGTTATACCTAGGGCAGACCTAGCACAGAAGGAGGGGTGCATGCCAATGTACACCCTTGCTTTGGGTTCAATAAAAGAAAAATAGATGTAAGTTGGAGAGAGCCTATTAAAATTGCACCCATACCTGTGGACTTGGACATTTATGAGTTGGGACAAGTAAATATTAAAACAAATATTTTTATCCAAAAAATATCAAAATGATGACAAACTAATCTAGTAATCAAATTCCCTTCCAGCTTCCACTACAAAGGCAACCTATATGTAGCAGCACACAAGTCCCAATTGACCAATTTCCATTATCACCACCCCAACCCATAGGTAGAGATTGTCATTGTGGTTTCTTATTGTTATTGTACCCAATCTAATTGAGTTTTTTCAATTAATTATTCATTTATTTGGTTACTCCGTTTTTTTAAATATGTAGCTTTTACCATGGAGAAATCTTGATAAAAAGGGTCAAAACAAATCCAAATGTTCAAGTGCCACAACAATCTCTCCCGGTAAACCATTTTAAGGCTACCTTCAGATTTAGGGAATAAAGTTTTTTCTTAATTGGCACCCCCTAATGCAAAATTCTGGCTACGCCACTGGTTATACCAAAATAACCAATTCATAACCTAATAAACATAAGACCTCCTTTTCAATTATGAACTTGGTAGATTTTTTCCTATATGCATATGTATTCTTTTTTTTTTAATTGTTTTCATTGAACAATTAATAATTGAACATAGATATTAATCCACAATCAACTTAATCTAACAGAAGTACACAATAACACCATTATGTCGTCAAATTTGATTGAAGAAGCAGACAATAATTAGAGACCCAATAGAAGCCATATTATCTTCTCAATCCAATCCTCGATGCCTATGTTTGAATTGCCCAGTGATGCTCTTTGGCTCTTTCAATTTATGGTTCAGAGTGGGAGGAAATTGGAAATAGACAAAGAGGATCAACATGCAAAAGAGACGGTTTCTTCGAAACTTGATAGAAGTTGTCGTTTTGGAGGAGAGAAACAAAGATATTTATACTTGGTTAGTTATTAGTTTGACCGTTAACAAGTATCAGTTACACCGAAAGTCATTTCAACCTAACGGTAACGACACCGCCAACAATATAACTATTGTACTAACCGAAAAATGGATATCACTCTACAATGAATAACTCAACCAATTACTCCTCTGTTGGTATTTTTTTCTTTTTCCAATATTTTAGAAACCCTATTGCGTATCTACCGGTTAGACCTGAATAACGGATACTAGACAAAACCGATAAACACTTTTGACAGTAGAAAACAGTTCAACCAAGTCTAAACCACAATATTATTAGTACAAAGTATGGGGATTCAAACTCCCTCGTCTGGATCGTACGAAATAAAGGTTAATACCCCATTAGCGCCCTATTCTTACCCAAAAAAAAAATAAACATCCATTTTTTTTTACAAATAAACATTCACTTTATTCCACTAATCCATGCCGCGCTGCACCAAGGCAAGGTCACTACGTTGGATAAGAGGATAGAGCTGGGACAGGCACCTGGCAACACCGAACGAACCACACAATCCGAAGTTGGAACCATATTCTTGAGTTTTTTTTTAGGCTATTCTTGAGTTAATTTTAAAGGTTGCGGGAGAAGTTTAGCTTCAATTTCAATCGGGCTACGACTACGACAAAACAATGGTATCAGCCTGCTCGTCTCCTAGTAAATATCGAAAACAGGATTACTATACCGTGTGAGTCAGCGGCCCAGAGGTTGAGAAGTAGGAACAGGAGGATGGGACATCTCTCGTCTCTATGGCATGAAGACCATTCAAGGCCAACGTTCCCTCGACCCACCGCCACACAGTCACCTAGTTGCAGTCGCCAGAAATCGTTTTGACTATGAGCCATCAGCCAACTCACAATTGGCCGCCAACCAAACTGGAATCTGAATTCTCTGCCTACTCTGAACTAAGATGAAGCAACCTTTCACCAATCCCATCAACTGGGTTGGGGCCTCCCACATAACATTACTGCTCTTCCTACAATTCATAGAATGAATGCACAATTTCCAAGTTCAGTTAAGGAAGATTTTGAGATCAAGATATAACCAGATGAGTACATCATCCAATCAAAGGGACCAATTGAATGTGTTCAAAGACTATCAGCTTTGAACTGCACGGGATGAAAAAAAAAACCAGCTGGGTATGGAAATGAAATCCCAGGAAGCCACATACGTTGGGAGCTGGTGAGTAGAAAGAGAAACGCCACAAAGCTACATCAACAATGTGCTGATGAGCCCCTCGGCACTAAGCTTTGAACGGACTCATAAATCGATATCTTGTGCCTACCATTAACTCAACAAAGCACACGACACAACTTAATCATGCGCAGAGCCATTTGGAGTGATATCACAGCAAAGAACCAACCCAATTGAGCACAAACAAGAACTTCTGATTTGCACTCTCTACCACAAATGATTTCATTCCTATATGAGAACTATATATGTATACATAAGCAAAAACCAAACCAAAGAACTGACTTACCATTATTGTTTACAGGGAATGAAGAACTCATAAGACATACATTCATCATCATCATCATCAAGCAGAGAGGGAAAGACAGAAACTTTGCACCTGGGTAGTTGATCAACAACGCAAATCACAGCTCAAATCCACAAAACGATGACATCTCAGTAACCCAATTGGAGGATGTAGGATACTCCAAAACATCCTGCAAACGGTTGCACTCCATAGACCCAGCACCAACTCCATCCAGCAACCCATCAAAGAAGCCTTCCTCCTCTTCGTCTTCCCTCATTGCTCCGCCTAATTTGCTTCCCTTGACTTCTTCTTCTTCTTCTTCGCCTTCCACAGCAGGCATATGGCCTTCGAACAGGGCCATGTGCCCAAACAACTTGTCCTTCCTTGAAAAGCTAGTCCCACAGGAACACTTCCACCGCGACTCGCCACAGTGCTTCAGGTGGCTCTTCAAATCGGCCACAACAGAGAAATTCTTCTTGTGGCACCGATTGCAGGAATACAACTTGGGGCAGTGGCTTCTCTTGAAGTGGTTCTTCACACAGATCACCGACTTCAGAGCCCGAAACTTCTTGTGCTTCCTGTTCCTATTGCATCCTTCGAAGGGGCAGGAGAATCTCGACTTCCTCGTCCCGTCGCTGGTCGCCGCCGCGGCGGGCTTTGCCAGGGCCTCCGGGGTCTTGAATTGGTTCCCGTGGGCCCTCATGTGCATCCTCAGATTCGCGTCGCGCTTGAATCCTTTCCCGCATATCTCGCAGAAGTGGGCGTGCTCCGCCAGCAGCTCCACCGCGTCCAGCTCGACTACGTCGCCGCTGCGGTCGGAGTCGCCCTCTTCCCGGTCTACTTCATCCTTCAATTGGAACGACAGCTGCTTCTCGTGCTCTTGCTCTTTACCTTTCTTCCGATCCGGGGGATCGCGGAGCTCGGCAGGCATTGGAGGCGGCTCAATGGATTGAGAGCAAGCGAGAAGAGCGGCGCCGTTGACGATGGTCTGTTGGATGGCAGAGGAGATTTCGGAGGACACCATTTCCATCTGATTTTGGCTGATTAGTGTTTTGCCATTGACCGATTCAGCCAGGAACCGCTGCAACAAATCCAATCTCTCCCTGACTGCAGACAAGTTCATCAGAGGAACTCGTGGATCGGCGGCGCTTGCCATTCCCACCGAAACGTTAATGGACATTTTTGGTGAACCTAAGGGCCTTCCTCACCTTCGTTCTCGTTGTTGTTGGTTTTTTTTCCCCCCAATTTATTCTTGGGGATTTGGACTTTGAGAAGCTAGTCAACGAGAGAGAAGAGAATGAGTTGTGGCTAAAAGGTAAGTTTAGTCCCCAGGCCATGTTCATATGTCCACATAAGTACCTGATATATATTGCGAGTTTTTTTTTTATGAATGAGATACAAATTTTAGATAGAAAATAATTTTTTTTTTTGTTAAGGTTGGTATAAATTAGAAATAAAGAAATAAAGGACAGTTTACAAAACCACAGTTCACAGCCATCTGTTAGCAGACAAGCAGATGAACGCAGTACACCAAACAAAGAACGAAAGAACCGAAAGTAAATGCCCTCCGTTCTCAACACAGATCAGACCACCCAAAAATGCACGCCTCACGATCACCAAACCAGCCCAACTTGTCCACACGCCACTACGCAGCGCATCCACCGCCAAACTTCTCATCCAACCAGACTAGTAATTCCGCCTCCAGCGAGGCAAATTCCTCGCACTCAATCAGACTGGTCTCCAGGGTGAATGTAAACCTCAGGTCTTCCATGTTGCCCAGCTCTTGGAAGGATCAACCGGGTTCTCAACTCTCGAAGCCAGTTTTCGGCAATTTCCCTGTCAACTTTTCTAGCAACAATCAACCACTGCGCAATATCACATCCAATCTTATAAGCAACAACCCCTACTGTCGACTCCTTGTCGCTGAAAGTTCTTGAGTTCCTTTCTTTCCATATATTCCAGCAGAATGCATGAAGAAGAGCGAATGTACACCATTGTGGCGGATTTGCTGGTTCGTTATGCGGCCATCTTTTGATTCTGTCTTTCATTACACCTTCCCTGCCTGCCCAACTTGCGATTGGGATGTAGTTTCGCAGGATACCCCAGACTCTTGAAGAGAAACTGCACCCAATGAACAGGTGGTTAATATCTTCTTCGCCTTCTTTGCATAACACGCATCTGTTTACGAGATGAAGCCCTTTCTTCTTCAGGTTGTCAATGGTGAGAATCCTGCCATGATAAATCAGCCAGAGAAAAGCACAGATCTTGCGCGGGATTATGTGTTTCCACACCATCTTGAACGGAAAATCAGCAACACCCGGAAAGGCGGCCTCGGCAAGTTCCATATATGCTGAATGCACCGAGAACCCAGCAGTGGGGGCAGGGCTCCATATGATTCTGCCAGGACCTGCAACAAATCCAGAAGTAGGAAGGTTTTGTAGTAAACAAAAAAGGCTATCTCTCTCCCTCTCTGCACCACCCCGAAGAGAATATTTCAAAGGAATTTCCCACACGATATTCCCCCCCTCAAAGGATACATGATCAGCGACGCGAGCATTTGGATATTCAGCAGCAGCAAGCATTCTTGGATAATCTTTGGCGAGGCATCTTCCTTGGATCCAGAAGTCAAACCAGAAGGAAGTCCAGTCCCCACTTCCTTGCTCAACTCGGGCCATCTTCCAAAACTCATCCTTTAACTTTAGAATTTGGAGCCAGGGGCTGCATCCCATTCCACCACTACCTTCGCCGCTGTTCCATTCTGAATTCGGATTCGGGTATTTAATCGACACCAGCTCCCTCCACCAGCTCTGTCTTTCATTTGCGAACCGCCAAAACCACTTAAATAATAGAGCCTTGTTGTGCCGGTGAACATCTCTAAGTCCCAAGCCCCCCCGACACTTAGGAGTCTTGCATAAATCCCACGAAATCAAATGGAACCTGGATTTATCTTGGGAACCAGACCATAAGAAATCCCTTTGAATTTTCTCCAGTGATTTAATTGTGCCCATAGGAGCAAAGAACAGTGAGCTAATGAAGTTGCTTTGACTAGCAAGTACAGCGTTAATCATGACTATTCTTCCTCCAAATGAAAGGTATTTCCCTTTCCAATTCTCCATTTTGTTCTGCATTTTGATGATAGCTCGATTCCAGTAAGCAGGCGACGATGGGTGAGCTCCTAACGGCATTCCCAGGTACACTGTTGGGAGGAAACCCCACTCACAACCAAGAATATCAGCAAGCCTGTCCATATTCTGAACCTCGCCAATGGGGAACATTCGTGTCTTCTCCAAATTTATTCTAAGACCCGACACAGCTTGGAAGCAAACAAGGGCAGCAAGGACATTGGTCACTTCATCCTCCGAGGCCTCACAAAAAATGACTGCGTCGTCAGCATAGAGGAGATGGGTTACTTCACCTCGCCGCCCCTCCTCGTCAAAGCAAAATCCATTCAGCATGTTAGATTCACGGGTTTTCTTTAGAATGTAGGACAACAAGTCCATTCCCACATTGAACAGAAATGGAGAAAGGGGGTCTCCCTGCTTGACCCCTCTTTCCATACCAAAGAATCCCACCGCTTCACCATTGACAAGAGCCGACAGCCTGGAAGAAGACATAATGCCTTCCAACCATTTTAGAAATCTCTTATGTAACCCAAAACTAGTGAGCGCCTTGAGAATGCACTTCCAGTTTATTGTATCGAAAACTAGAAAATAATTTAGGCAAAATACACTTTTATAGCTACAACTATCAGGTTTGTGACGAATATAGTCATATCTATCGAAATACAAGAAATAGCCATTTTCGTCCACTTCGTTAACTCCGTCAATTAAAGAGATGACTGGACTGACGGTGAATGCTTAGTTGGCGTTTTCCTGACCACACTAACTGACGTGGATTAAAAGAAAAAAATAAAATAAAATACACACATCAGCGACAACTCAATCTCACTTGCCACATAGACGCCACATCATTTATTTTCTTTTCCTTTCTTTAATCGCACCCAAAATCCCCAAATCGGCTCGTCGTCCCGCAACCAAATCCTCGCAACAAGACGAACTGAATCCACTGCCTCCCAGTCCCAATCCGACTTTCCAACTTCCAAGTCGCCCTCTCCTCCTAGCTCCAGGAAGCTCTTCGACCATCGCTAATCCAAACCCTAAATCCTTTATCGCCATTGTTGCCATCATCTATCCTCCATGTCCTTTCCCAATTGCCAACAAAAAGTAAAAAAAATAAAGACAGCAAGTAGATGGGAAGAATCGAGTGGTTGAGATGCCCCAAACCCCAATTCCTTTTGTGATCCATGCCCTGAACCCTGCTTCAATCCATCCTTTGCTTCTCCTCCAATTTCGATCCATACCCTGAATCAACAAACGCAACAAACCCAGCTGTGTTACGACTCTGGAAACTCAGAAGACCAGATCTGCGCAAACCCCTTCTTCGATTTGGGGAAGCCGTCGATGGAAGTTGAAGAGGAAGGCGGGAGTGACCTGCGAACTGACGACGATCACCGTCGAGTAGCAGGAGTCAATCGATGAAGCCCTATCTGGTGGCAAGAATGACAATGCTGCTCTCTCTCGTCGGTTCGCCAGAGGAAGGAAGAATTTGTCATTGGTTCTTCTCCTTTGTTAGTTTGTAGTTACCGTTAATGTACAGTGAATACTAAAGCATTATTATATAATGAAATGGAAAACCAGAGAAAAGGCATCTTGCCGAATTCTCACAATCTACTCTTCTTCCTTTCTTCGAGCATAAACCCTAGCATTCTCCAAGGCTAGTAATAAACTTTCTCACTTATCTCAAGCAAATCTCGAGCAGATCCAACAATCGGTATAAGCTCTCGCATTGCAAGATAAAAATAATAGGGTGTTTCCCGTAGAGCCACATATATCGCATCGACCGCCACCTCTACCTCTACGACTGCTGTCATTGTTGAGCTAGAGGTTTTCAAGCTTGGACTCGACCCCACCCTATACTTTAAAATGGACATTGTCATCAATGTACTAAATATTCGTGAGCAATGAAAAAGGTTGAAACGGGTTACCTTATTTGTCATACAGGTTTTGAATAATTATGGAGAATAGCTAGTTTAACTACTTGATTAAGTATGCAGACTCGACATAAGAATACAAAAAATAAAAAGAAAAATAAAAGATAGATAGATAGATAGTGGATAAAGAGCTTTTGATTAAGATTAGTATCCAAATAAAAACTCTTCACAGTCCAGCTCTCTTTGAGTCTCTACTCAAACTATGTCCCACTTCTCTACCTTCCTTCTATGTGTGGTAGGTGGGAATTGCAACCATTGAAGAAGAATCACCGTCGGTGGCTAAGGAATCTCGAGATCCTCATTTGAATCGATTGCCATTTCATCTGGAATGTCAAAGATAACACTCAATTTATAGTATTTATCACTTTCACTCTTGATATATTTTCCCGTCAATCAATGTATCTTTAGTATAGTTTTGATTACATTTTATATGAAATTCATAACTATTTAAGTTAATGTGATTATGATTAGGGATGTCAATCCAACCCGTAACCATGGGTACCCTACCCGACCGTAACCGGTCAACGAGGGTAATTACCCGCTTTGACGGGTTAAGGGGTGGGTATGGCCGTATGGGTAATACCCGGTTTCAAAATAAAGGGTAGGGTAGGGGTATGGTAATCGATAATACCCGCCCCGCTAACCAAATGGTCAATTTCCCTTGAGAAATTTAGTTTAGCTTGAGAAATTGAGTTTAACAACCATTATTGATGATGAAGATGTAGACGATTATTATGTTTGTGTGGATTATAGAAGCATGAACAATTATTATGTGTTTGCTGTTTTTATTTGTGTGGATTGTTAAAGCTAGAACAGTTACAACTATTGAGAATTTTTAATGGACAACAGTATGTATGTGCATATATGTGTATAAGTTCATAGTTTAGGATTCGTACCCATGGTTACCCGAATATCCATGGTTACCCGGTTGGTAGGGTATGGTTATATAATTTTCATACCCGGTGGTTATTTGGTCGGGTATTTTAAAAGGCTCTACCCGGCGGGTTAAGAGTTGGTATAGAGTAAACCCGCACCCAACCCTACCCATTGTCATCCCTAATTATGATAGACCTTGAGTATGCATATGTACTATTTGATGTCTTTATTGTGTTGTTTTGTGTTTTTCAGTTATATAAACCACTCAAAAGGAATTTGGATTACCAAGGTACCTAATGAATCAGAAGAAGGACACGAATATAAACTCATAGGCTCAAATAGAGATGAATTTGAACATCGCATGCTCACTTTATGACCAAAACAAGCAGATCAGATAGTGAAACAGACCGGACTTGGCCCAAGACACACGAGAGATTTTCCTACTAACCGCCATTCTACAAATTGGAGGAGTTACTTGGGACAAAGGAAACCCAATCCAAGTGGAAAAGCCACTGCTAGCCCTAATTCCTCAAGGAAACTTCACGAAGAAGCTACTTCGTCGACAAGTCGAAGGAAATCGAGTTCAAGTCGGATAGGGAAGGATTTGGCCGACTTACTAGTATAAAAAGAGACACATGCCTAGACTTTAAGACACACCTTTTACCAACACTCTGCCTCACTAGGCACGAGTAGAAATCCACAAAAAATGAGGGAAATTGTTGATCAGATTTAGAGGAGAAGCATTCACCATTGATATATATATTATCTATGGTGATGTTGTTCCACTCTTCTTTGTGTTGTTAGACAATCTGTTAGGGATTTAAATTCTATGATGATCATCGATGCCTATGCCTTTAGATGTTTTATTGTATTCGCGATGCTTTAATAATCTCTTGTGTATGATCATTGATTCTTTATTTCATATGATGATTTAACATTCAATGCGTGTGACCCTGTTAAGATGCTACTATAGTATTGTGCTTTAATATCATTTTAGTGGTCAAGAAATTATTATATAGTGATATCACATTGCCTTGTGTATGCTTGTTTAGTTAGATGCATCTACGCATGTTTACATAAGATCAATGGTTGATTCTATGATCATTGATGCTATAGACTATGATAATGGTTCGTATAAGCCCACAATTAACGATATGCTATCCTAACTTCTTTGTTTTGCATTGATTAGGTAAATTAATGATAGTTTAAGTATACGATCTATAGAGCACTTTTACTATGCTATATAGCATCGGTCTTTTAATGTACAACTTATAGTTGTACCATAACATTAAATGTATAAGTTTAGGTTGTACCATAAAGGAATTTGTATCATTATGTTATGGTACAACTTTACAACTTGAAGTTGTACCATCAAATAAAAGTACAAGTTCAAATTGTACAATAAAAGAATTTGCATAAAATGTATAGGTACAATATGAAGTTGTACCATAACGTTAAAGGTACAATTTCATATTGTACAATAAAGACATAAAACTATAACACCAATGCTATATAGCATTGTAAAATTCCTCCGATCTATATAGATAATAATGGTACAATGTTATGATTTGTTAATGTAGTAGTACTGTTGTGTGTTTATGTTTTTTTTGCAGGCTAAGTTCAAATCTCGAGCTGTGGCATGGATGGCGCTATCTTCTTCTCCCTCAGACCAGTGGCGTAGCCAGATTTGAACTTGACTGGGGTCCTAATTGGTGGGTTACATAGAAATTAAGGTGAAGATACATGAGAAGCTCTTAATATGTTGAGTGAGATGATTTATTATGGGGTCCTAAATCCAATTTACAGCAATTATCTAAGCATTTTTTGCTCATAATTGTTCCCAAGTGGGGTCCTGGGACCCCATTCCCTTGGCCGTGGCTCCGCCACTGCCTCAGACCCTCACCACTCCACTTGGAATCGCAATCGGCATGGGGATTTCCAAGGTTTACACAGAGAATAGTCCGACTGCTCTGATAGTGGAAGGCGTTTTCAACTCGGCGTCGTCAGGAATCTTATCTTGATATACATGGCGCTCGTGGATTTGTTGGCAGCCGACTTCATGAACCCAAAAGTACAAGCCAGTGGACGACTTCAGATTGGAGTTCAGATTGCTCTTCTTTTAGGCGCTAGATTTATGTCCCTACTAGCAATCTGGGCTTAAGTTCTCCAACCCGGCCGCACTTTTTTTCCCCCTCTGCTAGTTCTAGGAGTCTTCATTCAATGTCGTGGATCATTTTAAGTTGAACATTAATTTTTCGAATTTGTTAGTTTAATTAGGATATAGAAATAGATTAATGTTTCTTGAAACTATAATTCATTTGGTCCAAATATTGCCGTCTAGGTGACAAACGTGAATTGAACCATCAATCTGTAGATTATCTAAAAGTTGTTAATTAAGAGTACTTCCAAATGGACTCCCTAGGGCTGAAGCTTTGACCCTTAAAACCCTTCGACCCGCCCCGCCCCGACCCGACCCTTAGGGTCGGGCCGGGTCCATTTTTATGTAGGGTCAAAAGAGGGTCGGGTCATTGCCTTGACCCTGTAAGGGCCGGGTCAAACTACACTTGACCCTAAAAGACCCATATCCTGACCCTAATGACCCGAAATGTCCCTACCCCTGTGAAAATTTGGCGAAGACGAACGAACACACAGCACTTCGTTCTCTTCTCGGCTGAAAGAAAAATTCACCCTAAATCTCCAGCATCTCTCGGCGGCGTTCTCTGAGCTCAGGGACGCCACGAATGCCTTCATCGTCGCCAACACTGTAACGGCGTTCTCATCGTCTGAAAACCCATCGATCGATTCTCGGTGACTGCCGTCCGGCTCCGATCTCAAGGTCGATTGTCTTCAACTACTCTGATCATCTAACGGAGTCGACTGAGAACCAATATCGAGGTGAGTCGCGCAGATCCTGGTTTCTGATTAGTTCTCGACTCCCTTGTGCTTCAATTTCTCACCTGGGTTTTGTTCACTCCTTTACAGGGAAGATAGCTTTCGTCCCTCGCGTTCAAGGTATATACTTCGTGGCCCTCTTATTTTGAATTGCTCACCTGGGTTTTCTTCTAGAGCTTTCAATTGCTAACTTGGGTTTTGGTCTCCTTTCTCCCTTGATTCCTCACAGTTTCCTCACTCACCGCTAGCTAGCTTAGCTTGCTACTGTGTCTGTATACTTCACAAAACTATAAATCATTACCAACCAAACCAACACAGGCAATAAGAAAACAAAAAGGATCCCCCACTTACTCACTCACTACCTCATTCATTAGAACTTTGTCTGTTCTTTTGTTGTAGTATCAAGCTGATTACTGATTATATACATGGGGATTAGGAAGGGATTGTCCTGTTCATGCATTGTCCTGTTCAGGTGTTCTCCATTGGACGGTGTATATATATATATATACATGCACAAAGGGTTTTGATTCTGATTAATTAGGTGTCTTGTATAAGCTGGATATGTCAACAGGGGAAATCTTGTGATATAACTCTGTCTCTCTCTCTCTCGCTTTGTTCCCTTGAGTAGTAATGTAGTATGATATGGCTATCCGTTTATCTGGGATTTCGGATTTCAGTTTGTTTGAATCGACTGCCTCTTGATTTCATCTGTAGTTAGATAACAAGAAGCTTGAAGCTTTACCAAAAGGGAAAGATCGCAGCCCTGTTGTGCAGGTTCGTTTCTTATGCTTCTATGGCTTTTTAAGCTTTTGAGAGGGGATCGTATCTGTAATGTAAAGCCAAATCAATTAGTGCTAAGTTACTGAAAAGTGAACAGAAGTGGAGGCTTTTAGCTACTGTATTCTGTGGTTAAGATATAATTATTGGATATGGAGTGTTTGCCCAGCTTGTGAGTAATAGAAGTCTCCTGCTGCCTGTAAGGTATCAGCTTATGGTGACTGAATGGTGGATCGCCGCAGCCACACTATATTAGTATCCTTGGTGATATTCTAATTGAAATATGCCTGAGGCTTTGGATGTGAGGAACCTGCAACATGATCTCTATCCTCGGGTAGAATCTAGCTTAGATTGGTAAAGTTTATTGAATAATGTGGTAAATCTGGCTTGGATACCAATGGAAAACATAGAACAGTCGTGATTCAGTAAAATAGTGGGGGAGTTGTTCATTGTATTGGCTGCATGGATATCTCCTCTCCCTCTAACCTTCATCCTCTTAGCACTCCGTGCCTACCTATTCTTCTTTTAACTACCATAGAAGCCTGTCAAATTTAGCTCATTCATGCTTCAGAATTGATGTATTTTGGCATCCAGCACTTGCTCTCTCCAACTTTTAGAAGCTTAGATTGAATTGTGTTACCTTCCAGTAGCAACAGCATTAGAGATACAGAATTGCAGGAGCTGTGCACAAGTAATCTTTTCATGGATTCAGTTGTGCTAATATTGGTCATGCGACCATTATGGTGCACGTTCCTAATATGGGTATGGGCTCGTAGTTCTTAGTGTTGTCGCTGGCAGCAGGATATTTGCCCTCCTTTTTCGCTCTCTCCTCTGTGAAGTCATTTTACCGGATATCTGCTGCATTATGTTCTATTTACTGGCACTAAAAGGAATTACCATTGTTCTGTGGGCAGAAATCGCAACGTTATGTGCTTGTGTGTCGAACTGCTTCTTTCAGAATGGTTTTTATAAATTGACCCTATCGAACTTTGTCTCTCATTACTTTAAAATTGGTTATAATGGCAGGATATGGATGAAGCGAGCAGCAATCCCATCGATGTCTCCACCAATGCAACTTCCCAAGGAGATCCTCCGTTGGAAGTTGATGAAAATGAAGAAGGTACGTTCAGAACTTCAGCTGTATGGCCGCATTTTACAAGACTGAATTAGGAGGATAAGGAAACTAGAAAAGCTGTTTGCAAATACTGTCCAACGAAGATAAAATGTGCAGCTACTTATGGAACAAGCACTTTGAAAAGGCATTTGCAAAGATGCAAAAACTATCCGTACAGTCTTTATAATCTGAAGAAGTCTAGAACTCCTAGCGCTCAAGGTACTAGTACTGCAGCTCAGGGTACCAGTAGTACATCTCCAACTTTTACACCTCACACATATGATTCAGTTGTCTCGAGAATGAAACTTGCTAGAATGATCATAATTGATGAGTCACCTTTTAGACAAGTCAAGCGTGAAGGTTTTCGTGATTTTGTCCATTCGTTGAGACCCGAGTTTCACATCCCTTCTAGGATCACCATAGCCAAAGATTGTTTTAAGTTGTTTTTGACCGAGAAGGAGAAGTTGAAAAATTACTTCAAGCATTCACAGATTAGAGTTTGCCTCACGACTGATATTTGGGCAAGTAGACATCATTTGGACTACATTATCTCTTTCATGTCGTATATGGAATTGCTTGTATGCTTACAAAAGAAACTTCATCAAAAATTGAGAGTCACAAAATCATGGCAAGAAGAATGAAAGCTAAGCATGACAAGTATTGGGGCACCTTTGATGACATCAATCCCTTACTGTTTATTGCTGTGGTTCTTGACCCGAGGTACAAGTTGGAGTATGTCTGTTTTGTGCTTGATGAGGTTTATGGAATAGAACATGGAGGAATTTGGACTAAAAATGAGTTGTTTGAGAGTGTGAATGGTGTTTTGGAGGATATGTTCAAGGACTATTCTGAAATGAGAGGGGTTACTAGTGGAAGCTCATCAAGAAGTGAGGGGAGTATAGCACCAAATGAAATGATGAATCTGAAAGTGTGGAGGATTATTTGAAGAAAAATTCAAGAGAAAGAGAATGGAAGATAGGGTGGGAGAAACTACACTTTCAGAGCTTGAGAGGTACTTAAAGGCGAATCTTGAGGATGATGAGGACAAAACATTTGACATTTTAGCATGGTGGAAGAAGCATTCTGGTGAATATCCAATACTGAGTTTGATGGCTAGAGATGTGTTGGCGATTCTAGTATCAACTATTGCATCTGAGTCTGCTTTCAGTACCGGGGGGCGCGTTTTAGATACATTTCGGAGTTCTTTGACTCCCTTGGTTGTTGAAAGTTTGATTTGTGGTCAAAATTGGCTTCGATCGAGTACTCTTCCAATTGAAATGGAAGAGCAATTTGAAGAAATTGAAGAACTTGAACAAGGTAAGAAATATAATTTTCTTATAAAAAAGATAATTATTAATTTATTTAGTGTGTTGTTAATTTTGCAGAGTTGAAAGAGTTTTGCTTGGATGAGAGTACTATCATGAGTGATTTGGTTGATGATGATTGAACAACAATGTATTATGTAATCAACGATGTATTTGTACTTTGTAGTGATTTGTAGTGATTTGGACTTTTAAATGAATGGTTGCCCATTGGTATCATGATTTGTCGGAATTGGTGACCTATCCATCTTGCATCTCCTTCGTCTTTACACCCTTTCATCAAACACATATTTTATGGGAGTAATTTGGTAAATAAATAATTTTTTGAAATAATTTTGGTGATTGAATAATTTTGTGGGATTAAGTTGGTAAATAAATAAAATTTTGGAATTATGTTGGTGAATGATTAATTTTTTGGAATTGTTTTGGTAAATAAGTAATTTTTTGTAATTAATTTGGTAAATAAGTTATTTTTTGTTGAAATTTTGAAATTAATTTGGTAAATAATTAAGTTTTGGAATTAATTTGGTAAATAATTATTTTTTGGAATTAATTTGATAAATAAATGATTTTTTGTGATTAATTTGGTAAATAAATAAAATTTTGGAATTATTTTGGTGATTAATTAATTTTTTGGAATTATTTTTGTGATTGAATAATTTTTTGGAATTATTTTGGTGATTAATTAATTTTCTGGAATTATTTTTGTGATTGAATAAATTTTTGGAATTATTTTGGTGATTAATTTTCTGGAATTATTTTTGTGATTGAATAATTTTTTGGAATAATATTGGTGATTAATTAATTTTCTGGAATTAATTTGATAAATAAATAATTTTTTAGAATAAGTTCCTAATTAATTAATTTTGGTGATTAATTAGAATATTTATTAGGGTCGACCCACTAACCCTACCCTTTCCGACCCGCCCCGACCCTAAAGGGTCATACAGGGTCAGGGGCGGGTCACTTATGTGCCTTGACCCTTTAGGGGCGGGTCAGTCAAGGTCGGGGGGGGGGGGGGGGGGGGGGGGGGGGGGCGGGTCATCCAAACTCTCCCTCATCAGTCAAGCAAAAACTTGGCTCATCAGACCCAAATTGTTCATATATAGCGATAACATACTTTATCTCATCATCATTCTGGGCAAAAACGCTGTCAGTGAGAGTTTTTTGGTGCCAAAGCGTCTTATGCAAGACGTGTGCCCACAGAGAATTTCAAGAGAAAATCGTGCGTTATAGCACTCTAACGTATTAAGCAAAGTCCAATGCAAAACTCCAAACTCCAAACTTAATTGGGGCCTTCATCTCCAAATTTGGGGATTGATCCCTATTTTCCCTTTTTGTCTCCAATGCTTCAATCTTCATATTTGGGGATTTTATTTTTTCAGTTTTTTCATTTACTTAAAAATGTACTTATCATAGCCTTAATATAACTAGCGTGGGCCCCGGCCAGTTGGCCGGAGGAAGGTGAGATATGAAATTTGATAATGTAATGGAGTGTATAGTTTATTGTTGTATAGTTTTTTTTTGGAAACACGTGATAAAAATTGTAAATTTTAGCAGGAAAGAGATATGAATGATGCAACGAATCAAAAATCAGTCTTATGAACCAAAATCAAGTACCTTTTACCTTGCGAAACAATATTGTTTCTGGTAATATGATGAGGTGGAGCAAGTTTTATAGAAACCGAATTCCACAAAATCGAATTAAAAATCGCTTATCCAGTCGGTTTTCAGGAAATGAGCATCTCACAATCGTTGTTAGCTTTTACTCGGCCCGTTGGCCGATTAATTTGCTTTATAAAACTTTCATCTTGTCGTCATTGTTTTTTTTTTTTTTTGCCAGACCATGATAAAATCTAAAGAAATCAAGAACGAACAACACGATTTGGGATAGGAACCGCCGTTCCTGTATCCCTAGAAAATGGTGGTAAACACGGACTCACCTGCCAAACTGGTTTGGATTGAGATTTTATCGGGTATTAGGGAACCATGTGATTATAAATTAGACTTGATGAAAACGGGCCAAAACTTGAAATTCAGCATGTTTGACCGACTCATGCCAAACTCTAATTATTCTTTACTTTTAAACTTTCTATTTGAAAATAAAAAATAGTAACAGAAAAGAGATGACTGCAATTCGCCATTTGCACATCACTAATTCGGGAATAAAACCATAGAAATTCAAAAGGAAATTGAAAAATGTTTAGCATCGTTTTAATGTTAAAAATAACGAAATAGATCTTTCTCTGTTTTGTTTTTTACTAACAAATACCAAACGATTCCCTATAAAATACACTATAATTTAATCATTATGATAAAAATTAGACTAATTGAGTTGGTCGAGGTTGAACCATTGTATAACTTTAAAATACATTATATTTTTAGCCACTAAGATATAAAAATAATAGCATAATATATATTATGCTAGAGAAAATAACTTGTTTTAGAATGACAAACTCATGATGTTCATTTGTTTTACTTGATGGCCAAATCCCGTGTAGGTCAGGCACATTCAACTCTTTTATTTTATGGTTAGTGGTTAGCCCATTAGAATTCATGCATTAGTTTATTTTTAAATTTTTTCTTTTTAGCAATAAAAAGGAGTATTGTTTTTGCTTTGTGATATATATTTTACCACCACGGAGAAATAAAAGGGCTTAAAGAAAAAATTGACACTCCTGGACCCGTTTAAATCCGCATGTGTAGGGTAAGTTGGCCCGTTCCACAGAGGAAAGAGAAAAAAAATTGACACTCTCTATTATACCCTTCCTACAAACGCTCATGGAGCAGGAAATTTGAAATGGGGAAAGAGTTTTTTCCTCCCCGCTATTATATGTTTTTAATTTAAAAAGATACAACAAATGTACTTAGTGTGATTAGGGATGGCAATGGGTCGGGTTGGGGCGGTTTTGTCAAACCCAAACCCAAACCCATGGGTTTATCTGCCAAAAAAACCGGGGTAAAACCCGCTGGGTTTGAAAAACTCAAACCCAACCCAACCCGCTGGGTATCCGTGGGTTCATGGGTACCCGTGGGTTTTTGTGGTAAAAATTTACAATAACAAATTTCTTTCAAAATAAAAGTTTAACATCAATTTTCTCATACAAAAAACACCAATCTAGAACATACAAGCAAACCGCAAATTATCAATACAAATTGTTCAAAATTAAAGATAAACATCTAATAAACAACAAGATTAATTGAAATCTTCTTCCTCGTCAAATAAGTTTGTTCACTATCCACTCCATAATATCAACTTCATTCTAAACAATTAGAAAGAACAAATTATACATGTCTCCACAAACATAAATAATATTAGTTGTTTAAAGAAGATATATTATTTAGGATATTAAATATACCGGAAAGGTAATTATATGTGTGGGCGGGTACCCATGGGGCGGGTTTACCTAAACCCAAACCCAACCCAATGAATAGTGTAGCGGGTTTAAACACGAACCCGGCCCAAAACCCGTCAACACGGATTTTACCCGCGTTGACCGGGTTGGGTCGGGTGGGTACCCGTGGGTTCGGGTTTTGTTGCCATCCCTAAGTGTGATTGGTTATGATCCTTACTTTTCTATAAAGTGGTCATGGTTCGAATCCCAGTAAGTGTCTTTTTAATAATTAAAAAAGTAATTGTGAAGACCAAAATGTCCTTCCTACTTTGACTCTCGTTGCAGGAAATTTGAAACGGAGCAACAGGGGATGGGATTAGGTGCTAAAGGGTTAACACCGTGATAACTAGTGTTTCAGCCATTAGATTAAAATATAATCCTACAGTTAAAATTAAAATAAGGTTATTTTGGTCACTAAACATGCCCAAACCCTAATATATATTCAAAAACTTCCGCCTCTACACTTTCCGTCTTCCTCTTCCTCTTTCAACTGCTGGCTCTCTCTTCCGTTTGCTCTGGAGATGGTGATCCATCGTCGCTCGCCGCCAGCGTCCCTCGTCGGCAGCGTCGCCGCAAGTGTCCCTCGTCGCCAGCGTCGTCGCCAGCGTTGCCGCAACGGCGCCGACCTTGCTTGCGTTGGCTTCCCCACCACCATTGCCGATCGCTCGTGGATAGCAAGCGTGGAGGAAGAACGAGAACTTTTTTCCAGATCTATATTATTATTTGATTAGTAGTGATTTTTGGTTAGTAGTGATTGTGGTGTATTGTTTTTCATTTGTATTAATAGTTATTGTTATTGTAATCAACAGTTGAGCAGTGATATTTATAAAGTATTAGTAGTGTTTTGTATATTAGTAATAATATTTGTTCTTTGCAGTACTTTTTTCATTTACAATATTATTCTTTCCAAATATCATCAAATTCTTCTATTTAAAAAACGCTACTAAAAACAAAGAAATCACTACGGATTATTATAAAATCAATACAACATCTAAGTTAAATCACTACTAATTCAAACTAGTAGTAGTTTTTTCCCTAGTATTTTTTCACGTTAAAGTACTTTGCGGAGGAGGAGAGAGATAATTAAAATTTAATTTATTTATTAAATTTAATTTTACTAAATACCAATAAATTCCTTCATTTCTCCTTGGTTAGGACGGTGCTAACTCTTGTACAATTAGCACTGTAACTCCTCCCGGAGCAACAGTTTTTCCCTTCCTGCTATTATATATTGTGTAGATTTGTTCATGTTAATTTTTGTATAGTTCGTCATCATTCTTAAATAAAAAAAGTTTGATAGAATTTTGTTAAATTCCGAGTCCGAATTTTTTTGACAAAAATTATGAACCTAATTTGGGTTTACACACAACACTTGAAAATGATTGATCTAATTAAATCCCTAATTAATTTCCTAATTAACCCCTAAAATCTTAAAAAGAAAAAGATAAGCCACGTGGCGGGCTTTGGGGAGTCTATATTTGGGGGATCCCCCATTTCCACCCCCAAATTTGGGGATCCTTTTGCAGATCTCCCCCAAATATAGAGACTCCTCCATTTATAGAGACTCCATTGGAGCTAACTTTTTTCCAAATATAGAGCCTCCCCCATTTATAAAGGCTCCATTAGACTTAGCCTTAGGTAAAAGCTTTTATTTATATTAAGTTATTAACGCTACATAGTAAATCATTTTCTTAAATTTTTTTCAACAAGAAGCGTTTTTATGTTATGTAAATTGTTGCCTATAAATCAGGTCACGCCACTGTCTATATTTTCCCCGGCTTTTAGAAGTGTTTTTCGACGGCTCCGGATAGTGCATAACTCATGGTTATGCACTAAT